CTCTCTCTCTCTCTCTCTCTCTCTCTCTCTCTCTCTCTCTCTCTCTCAAAGGGAGGAGCATCATTAGATGCATAAAGCTGCCCACAACCTTATAACCTTGCAGGGTTATAAATAGCTAATAGCTTGAGACAACTGATAGTTCAGGTGACCTGAGGAAGGACCAATAATTAGGAAAGGAAATAATTCTTCAATTTTTACTAGGAGGGGAAAGAACAGCTTTTCTTTTTCTCCCTTCCCCACTGATCATGGTATCTAGTAGTGGAGGTAATCATCTAGAGAGAGATACCCTGTCTAGCAGGTGGAATGTCTGTCCAAGAAATTTTGAGATGCAGTTAATGGAGTAGGCACACACATTCACTGGAGAAGGAAATAGCAAACCACTCCAGTATCTTTGCCAAGAAAACCCCAAATGGGGTCACCAAGAGCTGGACATGACTGAAAATGGCTGAACAAAACGAACATACTAAGACACAGAAAAGGTGTCATAAGGATACAAAGAAACAAGCCAGAAGTTACTTCAAGGGGCATGACCTCTGGCCACAGAGAAAAGAGCAGACACTGGGAGACCACCTGACTTAGCAGAGACACTAAGCCTAGGATAAGTTTTGTGAAGGCTCCACAGGACAGAAAGGACTTAAAGGCCCAGTAATACTGAAGGAGTCACAGTTCCAGGGTGGAGAGAAATGGCCGTGGCCACAAAGGAACAGGGTCCCTACTAGTGTGAAAAACAGCCCAGATCACAATGGTGGTAAACAGACCTCTCCCTAGCTCCTACCACTTTGGAAGCATCGAAAACGTATAGGCCCCAGACCATGCTATGGAGGCAACAAAACCTAAAAAACAGACACTCGGTTCTGTCATATCACACACACAGAAAGACACGCACTCACAGACACTGGAGGTTAGAAGAACCCAACTCTAACATCAGTTCCAAAGTGAAGAATTAGGTTAGAAAGATGAGCAAACAATACAAAAAGAACATAACCATCAAAAGCTACTATGTTAACAGAGAAGTTCAAGACACAGTCTCAGATGAAGACAATGCGAAAACATCTACAAGCAATGCCTTTTAAAAAAACGCAAATTGGATGGAAGCCCAACAAGAATCTCTAGAAGACCTAGAAAGATATAGAAAGAGTAAGAAAATTACTCAAGTGAGAGTGATAGAAGAAAAAACTTGAAGAAAGAAATGAGATCTATGGTACAAAATCATAAAAAGAATTAACAGTTTGGTAAAAGAGGCCCAAAAAGTACTGAAGAAAATATTTCCTTAAAAATCAGAACTGAGGGCAGCTAGGTGGCGCAGTGGATAGAGCACCGGCCCTGAAGTCAGAAGTACCTGAGTTCAAATCCAGCCTCAGACCAAACACTTGACACTTACTAGCTGTGTGACCCTGGGCAAGTCACTGTAACCCCAATTGCCTAAAATAAATAAAATTTTTTAAAAAATCAGAACTGGTCAAAAGGTAAAAGAGGTTTAAAAAAAAAACTTCACTGAAGGACATAATTCCCTAAAATTTAGAGCTGGTCAAGTGGAAGCTAGTGACTTCATAAGACATTAAGAAACAATAAATTAAAGTAAAACATATGAAAAATAGAAGAAAATACGTAATCTCATAGGAAAAACAAGTGACTTGAAAGATAGATAAAGGACAAATAATTTAAGAAGTATTATTCCACCTGAAAGACAGGTTAAGAAAGAGAGAGCCTTGACATTGTAATTCGAGAAATTATAAAGGAAAATTTCCCTCATACCTTATAACCACAGGGCAAAGTAGACGTTGAAAGAATCCACTAGGCATTTCCTGAAAGAAATCCCAAAACAAAAACTCTCAGGAATACTATAGCCAAAATTCAAAGCTCCCAGGCCAAGTAGAAAATATTGAAAGCAGCCAGAAAACACTGTGAAGTCATAGTAAGGATCATATACAATTTAGCAGCTATCACTATAAGGAAGTGGGAGGCTTGGAATATGATATTCCAGAAGGCAAAGGAAATAAGATTGCCACTAAAAATAACCCACCCAGAAAAACTGAGTATAAACTATAATCCAAAAATGAATATTTAATGAAATGAAGGATTTTCAAGCATTCCTGATAGAAGGAATGGTTTCAGAAAAATCTAGGAAAACTTATATGAACTGATACAAAATGAAGTGAACAGAACCAGAAGAACAATGTATACAGTCACTGCAATGTGGTAAAGATAATTAACTGTGAAAGACTTAGTAACTCTGATCATCACAACAATCCATGAGAGTTCCAAAGGACTCATAATGAAAAATGATATCCATCTCTAGACAGAGAACTAATGGACTCAGAGTGCAGACTGAAGCATATTTTTTCTCTTTGTTTATTTTTCTTGTTTTCTTTTTCCAGAACATTGCTAATGCAGAAATATGTTTTGCATGACTTCATATGTATAATGAATATTGTATTTCTTGCCATCTCCAAGAGTAGGATGGAGGTAGAAGAAAGGAGAGAGTTTGAAACTGAAAATAAAAATAAAATTAGAAAAAAGAAATAAAAGAAATGCATTAAGAATATCAATTTTAAAAATAACTTTGAAGAAATAGTGAAACATAAAAAATTCTAGATGGATAAATGAAAGTAGGAGCTGATTTTTTAAATAATAATAATAAATCAATCAGCTGATCATCAAGTATGTATTAAGCACTTCCTATGTTCCAGGTACTAGGTTAGGTGCTGAGGGTGCAAAGCCAAAAATGAAATTATCCCAACTCATGAACCATTAGCTAATATTGTTTTAAAAAATAAAATAGAGAAGCAAATGACCAAAATTTAAAAATGAAAAGAGGGGCTTCAACAAATGAATAGGAAATAAAGGAAACTATTTTGCCTAATAATATGGTCCCCTAAATTGACAACTTAAGTGAAATGACTAAGCATACAGATTTTAAAAATATGAAGTACCCAAATTAAAGATAAAAATTCAGAATTTAAATAGAGAATTTTAAAATAATAGAGAATTTAAATTACCTGACCACAGAAAAATAAATTCAAAGAACCATAAATGATATCACAAACAAAAATCTCTCAGGATAAAAAGAATTAATAAACTGGACAATATTTTAAGAAAAATCCAATTTTTCATAAAATATTTGAAAATCTTGACAAAGGAAGCATCCTACCAAATTCCTTCTATGAAACAAATATGATCATGATAATCAAACCATGGATACATAAGTCATGGAAAGATAACTATGAACCTCTATAGTGAATACTGATACAAAAATATTGAGTAAAATATTACAAAAGAGACTGCAGTGAACACATTAAGGAGATTCTATTCTATGCCATAATTGGACTTATGCCAGGAATACAAATAGTCAAGTCAAGTCAGCAAACAATTTTTAGGTACCTACTTTGTGCCAGGAACTTGCTAAGTGCTGAGGACATAAAAAAGAAAAGGAAAAAAAGTCTCTTTTCTCAAGAGCTTACACTCTACTGGGGAATGGTTAGCAACATCCAAACAACCATGCATAAACAATATATTTATACATATATGTATATATATATATATAACTATTTATAACGAAAAAATCAAAATCTTATGAATTTATCAAAAATTTCAGAAGAATTTCCAACAAAATGTAGTATACAGTTATGTTACAAATACCCCAAAACCACAGGAATAATTAAGTTTTTCTTTGATTTAGTAAATTATGTCCATCTTAAAACAAGACCTGGCATTATCTGTAATAGATAAATGCTAGAGGACTTCCAATAACATGTGGAATAGACATAGTAGCTATAGCAAAAAGACAAGATTAAGAAACTGAGGGAATAAGTATAGCCAAAAAGAAACCCCAAAAGTAATGCTATTTATGGAAGATATAATTATAGAGAATACTAGAGATTCAACTAAAAAAGCCTTAATAATTATGATTTTTATTTCAAGTTATTTTAATTAATCCTGCATTTTGATTATCTTTGAGTTCATTTCTTATATTATTCCAGGAATATCTGACATACTTTAACTCTAACATGTAAATTAGACTCCCCCACAAGCCACCTCCACTCTCTCACATTGCTATATATTTGGACTTTGCTTTCATAACCGTCCTTGAGCTTCTCTTTTCAATCTCATGTCAACCCTGGGTTTTACAGAAGAAAAAAAAAAGTAATGTATGTTACAAAGTAACTCCAGAATTCAAAGTCCAACCTTCTTGTTGTGGCTTCCTAAACCCCATTTTTCACTAAAGCACCTTATGAAGCACAGGGGTGGAAAGGCAGTAATACCATGATCAGTCTATGGTCAATGTATGAAGCTATCCCTTTGCTGTCAATATTGTCTCTAAAAAAAAGATTTAAAACTGTTGTTATTGAAACTAGGATGCTTATTTAATTGAAGTACAGAAAAGTTTCAAAAATATCTAGTTATTTACATAAAAGACATTGTTCTACAACTTTATTAAATTTTTTTAAGGAGACTGGTTTGTTTCTGCAGGTCCTGACAGGAACTTGGACATCATCCATTAAGGAGAGCCCCATACCTATATATTTACACTATCTGGTATCAGGGAAAATAAACATCTGGGGGGGGTGAGAAGGAGAGATGGGTAGCAAGAAGGGGGAGGGTAGAGAACTTTCTAAATTCTGAATTTTTATCCACATTAAAAGACATAAAAATTATTTTTTTTTAAATAGTAGCTAGTGGAATGCCTTCGGGCAAAAGCAATTAATGGAGATTTGCCTTACTTAAACATTCATTAGGAAAAAGGATCCAGAGCTATCCAAAGGTTAGATTAAGTTCTGAAAACTTTGTTCTATGAACCATAAAATTTAAGAAGAACACAGATCCGGAATTGGCATACTTTAAAGAGGGGATTTTTGAGAAGAGAATAATTGAGGGACAAGGAGGTATTAGTTGGAAATTACTAAGCTTCTAATTCGATCAACAACTAATCAATGAAATGTACATAACACTTTAAAGTAATTTCTTAAGTACTATGAATATATAATTCTTAAATGATATGAAAATGGTTCAGATAGATAGATGAAGTTGATATTTCATATGCTAGAATCTGCATTGCCCTAAAAAAAGAACACATTCATTTTTGTACCAACTTGTTACTATACATGTTTTAGCTAAAAAAGAACTTAATAGAAGTTACTTTTAATTTAGATATCTACTTTTTCTTTTCCCAACTATTCATCTATCCACACACACACTCATGTATCTTCATAACAGTCATTTTTATATCTGACACTATTTACATTTCCATTCCTGGTATGATTCTTAAGCATAGCTATCTTTTGGACAGTGTAATAGTTCTACATATTTATTCATATCAATGAAACCCTGCTGAATAAGAGTATATTTTCCCCTTGTTCTTTAATGACTTTTTTATATCCAGGAGAGACTGCCTGTTTATTGACTTTCTTAAGGCATTTACTGAATAAAAACATGGAATAATCTTGATAGCAGTATAAAGATGTATTGGGAGTGGGGTAAATCTTTTGGCATTATTTCAGATTTCTAATACTCTGAATTCTTTCAAAAATCACAAGTTAATCTCAAAAAACTCAAGGTTTATCCCTATTCTCTTCAAGAAAAAATTTTCATAAAAGTTCATAAAAGCATTTAGCTATGATTGCATCTTAAGAATAAACAGCTTCAACTCTCAAACTAGATAATCAAAGATGATTTTTATCTATCATTCATAGGCTCTGTGTCTGCTTAAACTGTTTACTTCAGGATTTTAGTGATAATTGCTTCTTCTCTCTATATCCACTATCCCCACTCCAAATAGAGGAATTACTTACCTCACTCATTGTAGTTTTAAATTTCAGGTCCTGGACTTCTACTTCCTCAGAACAGAAGAAATTGTGCAAGGTTTCTCACAGTTCCTAGTTTTTGTCTTTAAAAGGGCTGCTGACTGTCATAATATCACCAGTAAACCAATAAGATTCATTTACCTGCTGTAAATACCCAGCACATATTTGATAGCACGAGGGGCCACCTAGTGTACAAAAGAGAAAAGATTAGCCAAAGTTATTGACTAAACCCCACAGTAGAAAAAGAAAAAGTAGGAAACTGGAAAGTGGGAGTCACAAGTGCAAAAATAATGATGCAATTTCACTAGATTACATAATTTAAACATGTCCCAAATGTTTTTTTAAAATGTTAGTCAATAAGAATATTTTTGCTTTTTAAAAGAGATCATGAAGTAATTATGCCCTCTAGTATCTAACTCTCTGAGGACACAGTCCTTGTCTTAATTATTTTTATACCAAACATAGTAGGTAAATTTATAAATTGTATATACATGAATAAATTAATCCCTTCATTAATTTTTTTCCTTGGGAATAATTATTTCCCTTTTTATTTCCCAAATTCTCCCTAAAGGTAGATTTTCTCTTTCTCAGAGAAAGGCTGCCATCCAGAAGAAGGATGGCACAACTTCACCCCAGATAACAAAAATCAGAGCAATGAAACTGCAAAGAGATTTTGGCTTGGTGTAAGGAAAATCTTCCTAAAAATTAGAACTATTCTACAGAAGGGAGCCCCGAACTTAGGGCAATATTGAAAGTCAATGAAATTATACAGGCCTCTGGGAAGAGTACAGGTGAGTACAGTATTATTGGTTTAAAATATCCTTTAAGTAAGCTTATTCATTCATATTTGAAACTTGTGAGCCTTTCTGTATACAACCAGAACTATACTCCAAGGGGTATCAAAGATCAAAGTTCCCAATTCATTGTGGTGGGGCAAAGTAACCGGAGAAGTAGAAAGTCCCCAAAGGTATATTTAATATCACAAGGGAGCCTTTAACTCAGGGATTACAGTAGAATGAGAAGATTGAAATAGATTGAAGTAGATGAATTGTGACCATTTCGTGGTTCACAAAATCCTTGAACGTTTGTAACGATGGTCCAAAGGGTTCTCACTAAACATTCTTTAATAGTGCCTTATACAGTAAATAACTGCCCGAGTATAGCATAAATACATTTTACCTCTGGGACATGTATGTTTAAAGCATTATAGATATTTTTTTTTTCCTGCAGTGAATCAGAACTATCATGATCATGTACACACCAGTTTTGTGTTCCTGCAGCAATTACATCAAACTCTGACTGCTTCTAAGTACGTATTCTTATAGTTTACTAATCTGTTATCAAAATGTTTCCAAACCATCAGAAGGGCTCAACATTCAAGCACAAACAAATTCTCAACAGATGGACAGACACAACTGAATATACACATTTGCATTCTGAATGCTACACCAGAGTAGCTCCCTCATTCCCCTCTCTTGTCCTATAATCATACTTCATCATCTGTGTAATCACAAGATCAAGATGTTACAAATGTTCTTGCAACACAAATGTCAGGCTTTTTGAAAACCACAATCATTAGGCATGTGTATTATAAGCCATCTTGAAACTATCATGGTTTATCACAAATATTTTGTTGAAACACATATTCCACAAAATTTGTAAAATTTTGTTAAAACAAAATGATGTATATATATATATATATATATCACAAATTTGGTAAAACAAATAATTTTATGTACATAATAGCAAACATATGAGGTTTTGCCAGGTTACTTCTATTTTTATAGAATGTCTCTTATTAAATATTCATGTTTGTTTTATAATTAAAGTTTTATAATTTTATGTTTAGAGTTTTCATAATTACAGGTGGAATAAAATTTTATATTTTATAATCATACTTATGTATTGTATATTTTAATTTGGAGTTTTTAGTAGGGGCAAAAGTTGTCATTGCATGAATGAATCTAAAAGAATATTTTGAGCAATATGTTAAATTACTCTTGGGGTTCACAAAGCATTTTGTTATTGTTGAAAGGTGTTTATGGAACAAGAAAATGTTTGAAACCACTGAAGTAGATAATCATTAAGGTCTCTTCTATCACTGAAATTCAGTGGTATGGTTACCTTTCAAATTCCCCACTAATTGTTATGTCTTTCCCAAGACATAGTTTACTAACAAGCATCAAAAGAAGCTACATACAAATACTAAAGAGTTATATAAATGAACGGAAACCCATAAATCTACTATCCATTAACAATGCCACTCAGTGCCTTAGACACTGTGAAAAGTACTTATCAAATATTTATTGTTTTAACCTCAATACCACACATTTTCACTCTCTTCTCTCTTATTACCAAGGTTTGTATATCTTTTCCCCCTTAAGCCTTCCTTTATTTCCTAGCTCTTTCTTCTACATTTCTACCTTTCTGAATTTATCTTTCCCTGACTGGCTTTGCAGTTTTTTAATGTAAGACTAGATTTAGAACTGGAAAACTTGTGTTCAGTTATAGGTCTCCTAATAATGAGTTTGTGAAACTGAAAAAAAGTTATTTAACATCATTTCAACAAAAGGCAGATAATACTAATATTACCTATCTCCCAGGATTAAAAGTAGAGTACTTAGTTAATGCCATGTGTAAATGTGAGTGCCATATAGGACAAGAATTGGCGGAATCCTATGTCCAGTAAAGAATAGGAATTCTCTAACATTTATCTACTTGAATAAGACTCTTATCTGAAAGTTTAGCTTCCATCCCGTCCTAAAGGAAGAATGAGGAGAAGTGTCAAGGTATGACTACATGAAATGGGGGATTATGTGAGGTAAGAGAAGCAAAGATAAAGGAGAAAGAGCAGAATAGGGACTCTAAGCTCAGAACTTCTACCACAAAACTAGCAAGGAAGCAAAAGCTTCTGAGTTTGCCTTTTCTTTTCCTAGACAACTTTCTCCCTTTTCTTCCCCCATCTCTTCCACCCCTCATCTAATAACAGCTCTCCTTCATTCACTCCTAATTCTTACGCTTCTCTTATCAAAGTTTGTCTTAACTTCTTCATTCTTATTGCCCCCAAACCCTCCACCTTTCCTCAGTCTTTTAGTTAGTATTTGGTCCAAATAAGAAAAAGTTTTTACTCCCTTTCCTAAGCAAAGTTTGAATTATCCCCTCAACTACTCCTTTCTCTCCTAGAGTCGTCCCATTTCTCCTTTTCTCTTTGGAAACTGAACTAACAACCCATAAACCTTGACCAAAACTACATCCATTTAGTTCTATCTCAGAGGAAGATAAGGAAGGAATAAATACAGGTCAGAGACTAGGCTTCTCCTTTTGGAGACCTAGACCCACGTACAAAGACCTAGCTGCCCAGATGAGCATTCATATCAGACGTGGAGTTACAAATATATTGACTGACACATGTAATTTATGAAGGAAAATTAGGTTCATTTTTATAGGCAGAAAAATTCTTGGGACATCTGGGATTCAAGATACAAAAGTGCTGATTAAGAGACTATTGGAACTAAGGGAAGAATTGATGCAATGTTAATTGATTGATGATTAATTGATGATTGATGTTAATTAAGGTTTTATTCAAGTCTCTTTGTATTCTAAATATAGTTTAATCTGTAACCTATTCCTAGAGAGTCTTAGTAAAAATAAGGGAATTCAATTTAAAATCAGTGCCTTTTTCAAACAAAAGTCTTTTCTAACTTCCAGGAAAAAAAATTAACTCTTATAAGTTTATGTTACAGTAAAGATGTGTTTGTCATAGATTGTAAAGTTTACTGTAAATGTGATTTTTAAACAATTTATTTGATATATTTCACCATGTCAGAATAATTTTAAGAAGTTTATTTTTCATATCCTAATTAAATGCCTAAATCCAACCTCATTCAAGTAGAGTTGAATTAAACATTGATCAAAATCTGATGAAAACCTAACAGACCCCACTAATTTATAATTTGTAGCAACCACTCTTTAAAAGTCAAGATTGTCTCCACTGATCAACTATCCCTCTTTAAATAAATTATATCAAACTTTAAACAAAACAGACAATAATGATTCAAGTTTGTTTAATGAACTCCCTTTATATCTTAACCTGGCTTTTCTGCTTCTGTAACTATGCTTTCACTACTATGAGAATGTTGGACTTGGGAAAGCCCAGTAGTAAAAATAATTTATTGTACCCCATAGTAGGAGCTATCTCCTGATTTTCTTGGATATTCTCCTAGCTCTCAGGAGGAGGCATATTGACTACCATAATCAAATGGGGTCTTCTTATCTTACTCTTCATAATTATTTTTCCACATTTTATGTATTCAATGTTGTATTACCTGTTGTACCAAAGCTTGCTCAAATTTGACTTCTAAGAAGTTTATATTAGCTCAAGACCTTGGTCCAGAACATGATTATGCAGAATTGGCCTTTAGAAGATGATTCAATTTATTTTAACTTTGCTATTGTAACTAATGCTTTAGCCTTACAATAAAATGATGCATAAAAGACAAATCTTTTAAGGATCAAAGAGGAAATTGTGAACGTATAATTATAATTGGACTCTATCTTGCGAACCAAATCAATTATTGTCCTCCATTTTGTGTCAAATTTCTTGTAAATCATGCGCATTCTGGTAAACTAGGGGGCACAAACCACAGAGTTCCCTATTCCCTGAATGTGTCCACCACAAAGCTGAGACAAAGGGGCTCATAGGCAATACATTCTAGGCAAACTGGAAAGTTCCAGCCGCAAGGTTCCTTGTTCCAAACACAAGTTCCCTGTCCCCAAATGTTCCAACCTCAACTTCTCTGTTTTACTTCTCCACTCTAACTGCAAGAATTGTATCAATCACTAGTCAATCAAAATGAAGGAAATCCTGTGTTACTTAAGGTTGTGTCATTTGATTTGTTCCTCTTTGTTGAGTATAAGAATACCATGTGAATTGCCAGTGGCGTCCTTGCACCTACTGAGAAGGGCTTGGACCCATTTACTGGCAATTGCAAGTTTTGCTAATAAATTGATTGTGCTCAGAAATGTATTGCTTCAGTTTATCTTTATCTCAGATTTCTATCGTGATACTAGAGACATTTTACTTTTTAGACATCGGCATTGTATCAAAAGATACATCCTTT